TATCTCAGGTTTCAAGTCAACTGATGTGGGTTAATCTGTTGTCGAAAGGATTTAGGCTCAGCACTGATACAGTTTCCAAGAGCTTCACTGGCCACGACAACTAATGAGAGCCCTAATTAAAAAACAAAACACAGCTCTCTTTCCATCACAATTAGCAAGATATTTATTTTCATACAAACCAGTACGTGAATTTGTTTGTGTTCATGTGTTCAATTATTTATTGAGCACTTTTCGCAGAGAAGATTCCCAAAGTGCTTATCTACTGTTACGCCTCTGATGCGCCGTGTAAATGGGGCTCAAGAGAAAGAGCCGCGTGAAGTGGCAACATCCCGTTATTTTCAAGCCTGCTATTTTCCGGCCATTGTCACGTCGCGCATTACGCCGGTAGCGCTTCCAATCCCAGTCAGGATTCTTATCCTTGCAGCATAAATGGGAGGACTGAAGTGGATAGATAACACACAGCACAATGCCGGACCACAGGCCACACACGCAACGCAACTGGAATAGCCACCTCACGCAAAAAGGCAACACACACAAACGTGGGTGGTCTCTCCACTGCGACAAGGGGTTCTTGATAGTCCTGTTTGGAGGCATCGACCGCTAAACCAGAGACACACACACACATCCGTACATACCCAAACAAGCACACATAGCCTCGCTAACAACGGCGAGGCGCAGTCATGTGGTTGCTTGGCGTCTTACTATACAACGCTGATGAGATTATGGCGGTTTTCAGTGGCTTTCAGGGCTCGGCGCGTGTGTTTGTGTGTCGGCTTTTGTTGAATAGTGTCTGCTTACTGAGCGTACAGCTACCCAAAAAAAACCAACACAGTTGTTATTGCAGAAAAGGTTATCAAAAGTGTTCCGTGTTAGCATGTATTGCCATCATTCAACTGTCAACGCTGCTTCAAGTCCCCATAAAGTGACATCTAAGATTTCGTAGTTGATACAACACATCACGAACAACTTTAAACTAATCCATGGGTTTTGTTAATTCTACAATGATCAGTTGATAACCGGAACATCACTCAGTTGAACGTAGACCTCCACTGAGAACTGTAGATGCTATTGCTAACATCCCTTTTTTATTTTTTGTCTAACTAAGAAGGGCACTCAGAGTCTGTATTTGTATGTCAGTTTTTGTTGGATAGTGTCTGCTCTCTGATCGTACAGCTGCCAAAAAAAAAAATGAACCAAACCAAAAAACAAAACAAAACAAAACACCGTTGTTATTACTGAAAAGGTCATCAAAAGTTGTCTGTGTTAGCATGTATTGCCATCATTCAACTATCACACGACAGTGCTTCAACTCCCTGGAAAGTGAAATCTGAGATTTTGTTGTGGATACAACACATCACGAACAACTTTAAACTAATCCTTACTTTTATTAATTCTACAATGATCAGTTGATAACCGGAACATCACTCAGTTGAGCGTAGACCTCCAGATGCTATTGCTAACATCCCCTTTTTTTTTTTTTGTCTAAGTAGAATAGCACTAAGCGTGTGTATTTGTGTGGCTATTCTCTGGGTGTACATCTCCCCCCCCCCAAAAAAAAAAACACGGTTGTTATTCTTGAAAAGACAAAAGAAGTTTTCTATATTAGCATGTATTGCCATCATTCAACTGTCACAGTACAGTGTTTCAAGTCCCTGTAAAGTGAAATCTGAGATTTCGTAGTTGATACAACGCCTCACTAACAACACTGCTGCACATCAACATGGTTGGTTAGACAGCATGATCATTGCACAGATGTGCCTTAGGCTGCCCACCATAAAAGGGCCCCTCTAATGTGCAGTTTTTGTGTAAAATGTGAAAAATTTGATTTTTTTTTTCTTTTTTTCCCCCCATAAAATACCGTCTTAAGCATGAACAGGGTGTGTGTAAGAGCACAGACAGCTGCTGGGTTTGCATGAAAGCCCAACACCTCCCTGCTTGGCCACAACACTCGCTCCCTCATCACGCACTGTCTCCACCCACACTATTTTTGGAAAAACAAAAAGTCTGGATTTGCTTTTGAAGGACACACACTCACACTTTAAAAAAAAAAAAAAATCCCTCTCTTGTCCTGCCACTCAAACGCCAAACACACTCTTTATTTTGTCATCGGAGTGTACAAATGCACACTATACGCCCCTCCGCCATCCTTTCTCCGTACATGGCGGCCACAAATAAACACTTACTCTTGTTCTTCAATTCACCGACTCATTATGAGGAAAAAGGCCGTGAGACTCAAAGCGTCATCATTCATGTTCAAATGAGCGTTTGTTTGCTTGGCCACAAAGAATCGCAATGGGCTTTTCATTCCAATTATTGTATACACTTTACATTAAGCACGCTGTTTGTATATTTGTGTTGGGTTTAGGTGCCAAGGAGCCGGCCGAGGGCTCGCTGCCATGCTGGATAAAGAGCAGATGGTGACCCGGACTGGGCAAGAAAACCCATTCAGTTGCTCCGCGATCTATTCAGCTCCTCCGCATCCGCGGCAGCAGGACGACAGGTTGGTTTGGTTTTTGAACACGCCGCTGTCACAAGGCGAGAATAAGGAACAAAAACTTTTGTCCGGATTCAAGTGGGCAGCCTGGCGCGTCCAGTTTTTGAAAGAAAAAAAAATGGGCCTGCACCAGAACTGCCTTGAATGACTTCATAGTTATCAATTGAAAGCAACAAATAGTCAAATGATAATTCATTCTAAAAATCTAAACAAGGCAATCTCAAATTAAGTTAAATTTATACCCCCCAAAAAAGCAACCCCCCCCCCCACTGTACCCCCCACAATAGAAGCAGTTTGATTCTTAACAGAAAAAAAAAACAAAAAACAAATACCAGCTAAATTCACAGCAGAATCTCTTGTCAAAAATTAATAAGCTCTTGATTAAAAGCGTTGCATCCATAACTCGCATTTTACACCCAACCCCATACACACACACACACACAGCATTTAACAAGCATTCAAATTGATCCATTCAACCATGTCACACATCCTGGAGCTGCTGCTGTCATTTTAAAAAATGTAAATACGGTGCCACCATTTCCCTCCAACATGTTTGTGAAGTAACACCATGCTTCTCATGTTGGCTCGCTGTCCCGCACGTGTGTTTTTCCGCAACTATGAAGGGAGGAAAGAACTGAGGGAATGCGGACAGATAGATGCAAGGCTGCCGGCCATCTTAACACCTCTTTGCAACTGAAGGTCTGCCAAGTCAAAGGTTGACTTCAGATAGACGCCATGACATTTGAAATAACTGGACCGGTAAAAATGACAGATAAATCTTTTCAAAACATCTCCCACCACGAATGTGAGCTACAACTCTCTTGACAAATAAATAAATAAAAGCATCTTTCGGAGAGGGGAAACGAAACTTGAACTGAGATAATGTGGTCGCACAAATGCATGGACACTTTTACGACTGCGATGCGGCTGTGTTTAAAAATGAACCACTCACACTCGTGTCGATGGAGTCGCTCAGACGACAGCGGCCACCGTTTCAAAGGGCCTCTGTTCCGACGCAAAGGTCAGCAGATCTCGTCGGGTTTCCTGCCGTTGTTGTTGTTGTCATTTCGTACAGCGCAAGCCGTGTGTCTGCGGAGAGCTTCCGCGGCCTCACAAGCACCTTGCCGTTCAAACGTGACAGTCAGGAGAAAGGCATAAAAATACATTTTTAAAGCATGAAGCCAAACCCTAACACACATCAAGTTTAGTAAATATGACATGACGGTGGCCAACAAAACTGGTCCGAGAGGCTGTCAAGAGGCCAACAGCAATACTGAAAGAATTGCAGACATTTCCGGGCAAGTAGTGTTTTTTTTTTTCTTTTTTTTTTCCGTACATCTGAGAAGAATTACCTGACTGCTTCAGACTGTATGTCTGGGCTACGGGCGAGAAAGAAGCTCACACTTAAAAACATCCAAGCCCTGCTCCATTGTGTCGACTTTTTACCCCCATTGCACATCCTTAAAAATCAGTCGAGCTCTTGCCTTGATAAAACCGCAATCCCGATTAAACAAGGATGCCCAAATCCGGTCCTTGAGGGCCACCTATCCAGCCTCCTCCAACGCATCTGATCCCAATCATCAGCTCATCAGCAGACACCTGATTAACGGTCCTGATCGTTTGAATCAGATGTGTCGGGAGGAGGGAGACATCGAAAACCGGCTGGATAGGGGGCCTTGAGGCACACCCCCCCCCCCCTTAGAAGATCTCCAGAATGAGGCTCAACGACATGGCAACAAAAATGTCCTGTTTTCACGAGTGCCCGTGGGCGTTTTGGTTTGGATATCAATCAAAATGAACAGGATTCTTTGTTCGATAGGTATGTACGTATCACATGGCAGCTTCGTATACCTTGCAGGGCCTCCGCTTGGGGGGGGGCGGGGGGCTGGCGTTTACTTCCGCCCCATCTGGCCTCCATTGTCTGGTCGCCCGGAGCGACAGGTGCTATTGTTCCCACGCAGACAGTTTTGCCACGTTGGCACACTTCGGAGGTATAGCCTGTCCGCTGCGCGCACACGCACAAATACCCACAGTCACTTTCTGGGCTATTTCCGGCGCGAGCTCTTCCGAGACAGGCCGTGCCGTGACGGGAAGCGGCGTCGGGGTCACGTCGGGGCTACGCAGGCTGGCAGGTGGCTCGTCTGTAGCGTTTCCCGTGAGAAGCGCGATTGTTTGTCTTCTCCTCTGTGTCTCGGAAGAACTGAGTCAAGAAATGTAAAAAAAAAAAAAAAAAAAAGTCTCTGTTCTCCCTTGGAAAAAAAAATATTCAAAGAATTAAAATGTGTCTCCACTTCTTCCAGATGCATCAAATCTGGCATCTCCACGTTGCGTCTTTGATTGTGATCTGTTACGACAGACAACAGCTGTCATTTCAAGGCGGGCAACACGCGAGGCCACAAAGCCACCAGCGCGCTGGTGAACATCTTGTACGTGCATTTTTTTTTTTTTTTCCGATTTCCCCTCTCACGACACGGCGTGGCGGGCCACATGTGGCGTTGGTGTACGTCTTCAAACGCCTCGCAGCCAGTGTGACTTACACGCTGGAGAGAAGTCTGTGTGATCAAAAAGAGAAATTAAATAACTGCATTGAGATATTATAAATGAAACCAAATGGCGCGCGCACAATTACTTTGACAAGCATGAAAACCCCAAACAAAGACAAATAGCAACTGTCATAGGATCTTCAGTATCACATGAAACAGATTCAGGAAGCTTTGCACTACAGGAACACATCAACATGCAACTATTTGCTTCAAAATAATTCCGCTCTGTTTAATTTGTTCCATGACAACACCCGCAACTCAAAACACTCGTGTCTCAAAGCGTCTTCCCCCATTGAAATAACTGGAAATGCTATTAATCCGTTCCAAACAACAACAAAAAACTTAATGTTTGTGTTATAGATTAAAATATGCTCTATAATATGGTGCTTTATAAAAACGGAGGACTAACATAAAACGGGGGTTAACTTGGGAACGTCACATTTGTCACCGATCAGCGCCGTGATGTCATTTTGAGTCGACGGCAATTGGCAAAATGTCAGCCACCTGAAATGTATAAAGAGCTTCTTTCATATTCCACAAAGGCAATATAAATCAAAACGGAACACTTTTGACTTAACTTGCCCTTTAAGCTCGAGGGGCCTTTCTGGAGGCTGTTGTGAATAAGCAACATGTTTTCCCTTTGTTTGATGTGTAGTTTGACAGTGAACTTCAAACAAGAGTGGCAATAAACAGCTTGAAGTCTCTTGAAGATTTTATTTTATTTTATTACTATTTGCCAAGCTGCTGAGTTCAGGAATCCATTTTCCCACAACTGCAGCTACATTTTGTCACAGGAAAAATGTGATTTGCTTGATTCTGTATTTTGCGCATGTGATTGTCTGGAATCTCAAAGAGGAGGTAGGAAAGGGTTCGGGGGAACAGAAAATGTTCCCAAATTCGAGAACGACCCATATTGTGCCTTTCAGCACACCCAAATACGCTTCCGTTTTCTTTTTCTTTTTTTAATTAAGCCAGTTGAATGTATACGGCCCCTTGAAGTCGTGTGCTCGTAGTCGACCTTTATGCGTTTACGTGCCTACTTGACGTATTTGTGCAACGAACAAGCAGCGCAGTGTTTAGCGTCTGCCTCGGGAGAATCCAAACAGAGGGCCAGCGAAATGGATTTGCAAATGTAGGGGTTAAACACGCGACCTTTGGCATAAAGACTTCTGTTATTGGCTTTCATTGGAGGCGGCACATGATCACACACACGCGCGCACACACACACACACACGCACACACACACACGATGATCCCTGTTCAAACATATGCATACAGTCTAAACAAGCTCCCAAACAAGGCGCTTGAATGTGAAACTCCCGTCGGACCTTTGAAGCGCCAAGCCGAGGCTCAAGCGGCGGCGTGAGCTCGCTCGCGTGTGCGTCACAAAAAAAAATCCCTCATCAAGGCGGCTCGTCACACTCGCAAACATCACACGTGTCTGCGGACAGCAGGATTATCGGTTCGGGATGAAAGGTCAGGCGCGGCGGGCGCCTGGGATCAATGGGTAGACCCGATGAGAATCCTACTGAATGGATCTTTGCCAAAAGGATTATTTATCTTTGATGCGCGGATGAAAACGTGATGACTGAACTAAGTGTTGTAGGTACTGGAATGATCCAAAGCTAATGCCGTTTCACGTGCTGAGTAAACACGTTTAAAAGTTTAGTGCTTCAGGTAGCTCGGATGATTTTCACCAGAGAAGACTTGTGAGGGAACAAACTGCAAGTGCAAGATGGAGGTTGAAGTGACAAACAAACATATCAATAGAATCTAACCATCAGATGGAAACAGTGCTTGTTTGATTGAACTCATCCAGTGCTGTAAAACATCCAGTGTAAAAACATGCATGGCAGGTTAATGGAACACTCCAAGTTGTCCCGAGGTGCGATTGTTAGCCCGGGTGGTTGTTTGTCTTATGTGTGCCCTCTGATTGGCTGGCAACCCGTTCAGGGTGTCCCCCGCCTACTGCCCCGAGACGGCTGGGATAGACTCCTTGTGAGGACAAAGCGGATCGGAAAATGGATGGATGGATGGATGGATGGATGGATGACTATATGCGGATACACCTCCCAGAAAATGAAAAATAAGCAGCGCAGTAAAAAAACAAACAAACAAACAAACAAAAAAACCCACATCTTTAATCAGAATCAGAATCGCCTTTATTGTCATTGTACAGCATCCAACGAAATTTGGGTGCCACCCCTAAGTGCATTTCGAAAAAAAAAATATAAATAAAATAGAATAAAATAAAATAAATACAAGATTTAAAAGATTTTATTTATGAGTGAGGGAAGTAGCCTTGCTTAGGAAATTGGTGTGTGTGTGTGTAAAATAGGACACAGTGCGTGTTGTCGATTGTGAGGTTGTGGGTGGGAGCCGTGTCTCTTTCTGGCATTGACAAAAAAACAAAAAACAAAAAAAAAAAAAGAGCGAGCGACTTCCCAGAAGTGCTGCTCCCGC